GAGAGGAGAGGCTGGGAATGGACTGATAGGACTCACCTGAACTTCATAATAGGAACTATTAGGTGACATATAATGCTGTCACACTATGGGGAATGCAAGGAGATGTTTTGGTGGTTATAGACGATGTGTTCAATTTGGACATGTTAAATTTTATGTGCCTATGTTGTATTCAGATTCAATAAGAAAGAAAACTATAAGTATATATGTTCATGACACATTATTTAAACATATTTTGTGGTTCCAGTAAGATAATTAGCAATAAGAATAGGAATGTCCTATATAGTATCTTCATCCCCTCAGTAAGGTTGCCCTCTCTCATCAGTTTGTCTTTTTTTTTTTGGTTCTCTATGTTATCTTTAAATCTTTCTTCTGTTCTCTAGACTTTTTTATTCTTTTTTTTTAAATTCCTCACCTGAGGATACTTTTCTATTTATCATCAGATAGAGTGGGAGGAAGGGAGAGAGAGACAGAGAGAAACATCAATGTGATAGAGCCACATTGACTGGTTGCCTCCCTCACGACCCGACCAGGGCCTGGGATGAACTGCAACTGAGGTATGTGCTCTTGATCGGAATCGAACCCGAGACTCATTGGTCCGCAGGCCGACTCTAACTGCTGAGCCAAACTGGCCAGGGCATATTTATTCTTGATATTAGTATTTTGTACTTTTTCCTGCTGTCTTATCACAAATAATGTAAGACACGAGCAGCTTTAAAAATACTTGATAAAATCTCTTCATTTTGTGAGCTTAAAATTAAATCTGGATATGTGGTACCTATATGCTGTATCTTTTATTTAATTTTTAAAAGCTAATATTGGCAGTATTTGTGCAAGTACTTACTTACACATTAATTTGCATTTCCTGAATTTTATATAAATGGAATCGTGCCCATATATATTTATCTGGCTTCTTTCACTTGGCATAGTTATTTTGAGCTTTATTCTTGTAGCATGTATCAATATAGTTCATTCCTTTTTATTCTGAGTAGTATTCTATTGTGTGGATATACAGCAGGTCCTGGAATAATGTTCTTTCGTTTAATGTTCAACGTGTCATTTCCTTAATAATAAGATGCCATAGAAACTTAACTCTTGTTTATATCAGTTAGCCTGTTACAACTGGTTTTGCTATATTGTTTTGCTTAAAGTCACAGAACCTACTGATGATGTTAAATGAGGACTTACTCTGTACCACAATTTGTTATCGGTTAATCTGTTGATAGACATTCCAAGTTTTGGCTATTACCAGTTGGCTGCTATAAACATTCATATACAATTAAATGTATTATTTATATGCCTTCGTTTCTCTTGGGTAGATAACTAGGAGTGGAATGGTTGGGTCGCAGCATGGGTAACTGTTTAACATTTTTCGAAGATGATTGTACCATTTTTCGAAGATGATTGTACCATTTTATGGTCCCACCACCAGTTCCTCGACATTCTTTCCAACGCTTGGTATGGTCAGTCTTTTAAATTTTAGTCATTCTTATAGGTGTGTAGTGATATCTTATTATAGTTTTAGTTTGCATTTGCCTATTGACTAATGTTTCCATGTTCGTATTTGTCATCGACATCTTTGGTGAGTCTTTGATGACATGCCTGTTGAAAGCTTTTGCCCATTTTTTATGGGTTTTCTTTCACTGAGTTTTGAGAGTTCTTTATATATACTGGACACAGCCCTTATTCAGCTATATCTTTGTACATATTTTCTCCCAGTTTGGGGCTTGTCTTTTCATTCACTTAAGTGTTATTCAAAGAGCAAAAGTTCTTAATTTTTATCACTTCCAATGTATCAATTTGTTCTTTTATGGATTATGCTTCTGTAATACCTAAGAATTATTTTCCTAACCCAAGGTCACAAGATTTCTTCCTGTTTTCTTTTAAAAGTATAATAGTTTTAGGTTTTACACACACACACACACACACACAAACTTTTTAATTGACTGTATTGGGGTTAGGCTTTATATTAGATCTATGATTCCTTTTGTGCTATTTTAAGAAGTATGTTGCAAAACATGGGACAAATTTAGATTTTTACCCGTGGATATCTAGTTATTCCAGCACCATTTGTTGAAAAGACTATCCTTTCTCCACTGAATTGCTTTTGCACCGTTTTTTGAACATCAGTTGACTAAGGTGTGTGAATAGATTTCTAGACTACATTCTGTTCCATTGATCTATGTGTCTATCCTTTCACTAATACCATACTGTCTTGATCACCATAGCTTCCATGTAAAGTTTTTTTTTTTTATCATCCTCACCCGAGGACATTTTTCGATATTTTGTTCAGATAGAGTGGGAGGGAGGGAGGGAGGGAGGGAGAGAGAGAGAGAGAGAGAGAGAGAGAGAGAGAAACATCAATGTGAAAGGGACACACCAAGTGGCCGCCACCCGCACGACGGCCAACCAGGGCCGGGGACAAACTGCAATCGGGGCATGTGCCCCTACCGGGAACTGAACCCAGGTCTTTCCAGACTGCAGGCCAACACTCTAACCACTGAGCCAAACTGGCCAGGGCCCATGTAAAGTTTGAAGTCAGGCTGTCAATTTTTTTTTTAAAAAGCCTCCTTGGGTTTGATTTTATTAATTTTTTTCTTTATTGCTTTTTAGAGAGAGAGGAAGAGAGAGAGAGAGAGAAATAGTGGTGAGAGGGAACATCTATTGACTGCCTCCTACATGCCCCCCACTGTGGACCTGGCCCGCAACCTGGGCATGTGCCCTGACCAGGAATCGAACTGGTGACCTCTTGGTCAACGCTCAACCACTCAGTCACACCGGCTGGGCAAGCCTCCTTGGATTTTAAATTGGGATTACAGTGAACCTATAGATCAGTTTAAAGAGAATTGACATGTTACCAATTGTGATGGTTAATTTTCTGTGTGAACCTGACTAGAGTATGGTGTCGAGTTTTTTGGTCAAACATTAGTCTGGATGTTGCTATGAAGGCATTTTGTTGTTGTTAATCCTCACCTGAGGGTATTTTTTCCATTGACCTTTACATATGGAGGGAGGGGGGCGGAGAGAAACAACAATGTGCGAGAGACACATCAATTGATTGCTGGGAATCAAACCTGCAACCTAAATATGTGCCCTGATGGGGAATAGAACCTGCCACCTTTTGATGTAAGGAACTGGCTCCAGCCAACTGAGCCTCCCAGCGAGGGCTTACATGTATCTAACTCTTAGTCATCATTTCACTGAGGAAATAGAAACCGATTTCCCCTTAATTTCCAGCCTTCACATTCTCTCTGCATCTGCGGTCTAACATAGTTTGTGGTAGCTAATTATTTATTGGATGAATGAATGTGCCAGTATATTTTCTTCCTTCATGTAATAGAGGAAGAGGTGGTTTTGTTCCATCAACTTAAACCTTTAAGTGCTCTGGATTATCATTCTCTTCTGACTTATTAAGGACTTCAGTGTTTCCATTCTCTGTAATGAATCTTTCTCATAAGCATTTAACCCACTTCCTTGGATGAACTCCATTACTATGTATATATTTGATAAGTTCTATATCTCTAGCACACACCTCATTCTGGGTGTCAGGCCTGTAGGTCTAGCTTCTTTTCTAGTATGTGTCATAGACAGTTTAGACTCCATGACCTTCAACCTTGAGCTCGTTAACTGTTCTTCTTCACCTCTACCTAAACCTTCTCCATTGTTTCCTATGTCAGTGATCACCACTATGGATAGTCTCTCTGCTTTGTTGCCCAGGCCATAGTCCCCTCTTTTCCCATATTTCCCTCTGATTCTTGGTTGTGATTATTCTGATAAAATAAACTAGTTATAAACAGTTTGAGCCATTTTTCTTGATTGTTGGTAATACACTTTAGTTTTCATTGGTATAAATTTAAGTGTTTTTAGGTATATTTGGTATTTTTAGGCTATTTTTGCCCAGTTATTAGTGACTAACATAGATCTGAAATAATAAATTTTCATTAAGATTTTTAGTTTGCGCCTGGCCGGTGTGGATCAGTGGTTGAGCGTTGACCCAAGTACCAAGAGGTTGCTGGTTTGATTCCTGGTCAGGGCACAAGCCCAGGTTGTGGGCCGGATCCCCAGTTGGGGGGCATTGGAGAGGCAGCCAATTGATGTTCTCTCTCATCAATGTTTTCATCTCTTCCTCTCCCTCCCTTTCTCTCTAAAATAAAATAAAAATTTTTTTTAGCTTGCATAAATCAAAATAAAAATTTGTAGCAATTTGTTCTACTGCAAATGGTTATAGTCAGTGTTTAAGTATGTGTTGTTTCTTTAAAAAAGATTCAGTTTTCTAAGATTAAAGAAAATCTCTTAGTTTCTAGTAGAAAATTATGTTGTATCCATTATCAATATAAATAAAGGTGTTTAGCTCTGCTGAGAAAATGACATAACTTCCTGCTATATTCATTCTTCCTCACTGTTGCTCATTTTATTTCCCAGTCTGGTTTATAATAAAAGTCCTTGAAAATAGAAACTGCCTCTCATACTTCTATGCCTCTTTCCACAGTGATATTGTGGCCATTCTAATATTTTAATAATGATTTACTTTAAAGCTCAAGTATGTGAGTTTCAAGTGAATGTTACCTTTTTTTTTTTGCATTCACATAGTACCTACAGACTAAGGCATAATTAATACAGGTTGTGAAAAAGAGGTTTAAGGTTTAGAGTTTGTTCCAATCTGAATTAACAATTGGATTTTTTTCCCTAATCAAACAATTATAATTGAAGTTTCAGATTGTTTATAACTGACCTTGCTCAAAAAAGCACTTGTTTTTCTTAATGAATCTTTTAAAACAGCAAGCTCATTCTGGCTTTATTCCTCTTTTGGATTAATCTTTGATATTTAGAATAAAAGAGATTGTTTTGAAAGACTAAGCCACAACAAGGAGTGATAATTTTGCTCCGTAAACAGATGATTTTTAACTTTCACATAGTATTCACTTTACCTTAGTGTGGCTCAGATCTCATGCTATCTCTTGGGCCAGTGGGCTGCTTCTCATCTGTTTTGTTTTTTTCTTTAGATATTAGGATCAAGGAAGAAGAACCTGATCCTGAAGAGTGGCAGCTCAGTGGTGATTCTACATTGAATACCAATGATCTTACACACTTAAGAGTACAGGTGGTAGATGAAGAAGGGGACCAACAACATCAAGAAGGAAAAAGACTTCGGAGGGTAGCTTGCACCTGTCCCAACTGTAAAGAAGGTGGTGGGAGGTATGCACATATGAAACATATTTTTTAAAAGACTGCTTATATCATCACCCTAATTTTTGAAATACTGCATGCCGTGTCACTTAATTGTAGGATATTATTTATTACATGATCATTTTGTGTGTATATATGTATGAGTGTGGCAGAAAAAGTTAAGAGAACAAAATATGTGAAATTAAAACTTTCCGTTCAAACACTGTTTTTAAAACTAAAATTACTTGGTTGACTGTATTTTTTTGTAAGCAGTGTAACAGGCCCATATCAGGTATCAGCCTGTTTGCAAATCGGCAGTGGGATTTGCCTAAATACAGATAGAAAGTTGATTCTTAGCTTGAGAATAGAAATTGTATAGCATAAGAAGTTCAGAAATAGTTAATAACTATAAGCATTTTCATTTTCAACAGAAATGAATAATAAGCCTTAATGATGGAATTTTTAAAAAATTAAAACTGTAATATTTCTGTTTAGTATTTTAAAAAGTAAACAAGACAGAATAACATGACAGGAATAAATTCAACACAGATCAGTAATTATATTAAATGTGGATGGATTAAGCTTAGTAATTAAGGGGTGGAGACTCATCATATTTAAAGACATCAAATCCAACTTTATTTTGATTAGGCAAATGTTAACAAAAAGAAAATCAAATGGATAGATAGGGGTATATTTCTAAATAATACGAAGTTTTCACCAAGAAGATTTAGCAGTTAATGGTATCTTTCCCCTACATCTTTGAAATATATAGAGCAAAAACTGAGAACTATAAAGACATACCAACCAAATCCCCAGTCATTGTGAAAGGCCTTAATGTACTTCTCTCAGAAATAGACAAAACTGCTATTGATACAGTTAATGAGTTTAATATAACAGAGACTTTATCTACCTTTGATTTGAAAGATCAACATTTGTCAGCCAGTTAAAATTATAGTAATGATAATAACTTAATAACATTGAGAGTTTACTGTGTTCCTAAATAATCTTATAAGTGAGGCATAGAGAGGTGAGTGACTTGTATGAGCACAGACAACAGATATCTGGTCCCAGATACTCCAGAAATTTACCACTGTATTGTACTGCCTCCTAAGTGGATTTGTTGCTGCATCTGATGCTTAGATATTTGTGTTTACTGGTAATAATTCGGTTGTTTGAAATTTTATATTTTTGAAATAGTTTGGTCAATTTAAATAACTAAATGGAATTCTAATTGGGCAGTAACTTCTGAAATTGACTCATTTTTAGAGGAACTTTCAAGACAATTTTTTATGAAAGTCAGATCTAATTGAGGATCAAGGTCTGGCCTGTTTTACTTATTCTTTAAAATGAAAATCTTTAAAATATATGTATATTAAACTAATGCATACACATAAAAATTCAGAAGTATAGAAGAATTAAAAATACCAAAGTCCTACCTCACTTCAAGATAACCACTGCGACATTTTTATATATGTCCTTCCAGACTTTACATATATTTTAAAGTACAATCATTTTATTCTCACTGCTTTACATGTCTGTTCTTATTTTGAAAATTGTGACCATATTTCCAAGTCTACATAGTTTGCATCAATTTTTTTATGGCTGTATAGTAGTTTATGGTATGAATGCATAAAAATAGAACATCTTTTTTGGGGAGTTTATTGTCATTCTAATTCTCACACATCTTTGCACGTTTGTCTGATTATTTCATCAGTGTAAGTTGGCAGAAGTGGAATTCTTGGATCAAAGGGATTGGCTGCTAGAAGTATCAATTGATTACTTCCACCAGTGGTATATGAGAGAATATCTGCTTTTCCACACCCTTGCCAATAATGGATTTTATCATTTTTTTCAAACTTTTTAAAGTCTGACAGATGAATAGTAATACCTCAATATTGTTTTATTTAATATATTTGTTATTTGTGAGATAGAACATTTTTTGTATGTTTTTTTACCATTTAAAAATTTATTTTGTGAATTGTTTATGTCTTTTGTGAATCTGTTAATTTGTGTTTAAGTCTGTCATACACAGGTATTTTTTTTCTGGTTTTACATTGCTTTTCAGCTTTATGTCAGTGGTTTGCAAAATGCATTGTTATGCAGGTAACGAATGAGTTCCATTACTTAAAGGTTGCAAACTTGTTTAAGCCCAAAATTTTAGTTGATCAGTCTTTATGAGCTATCTTATTACCACACTTTTTAAAATATTTTCAATCATGAGGATTATAAAAGTACTTAAATTCTAGAAGTTTTGTTAATTCATTTTAAAATAACTTATTCGAAGGAATCAAAATTGACATTCTTAAGACAAGCATTGTATTGTTTCTTAGAGCTCATTTGAAGAAAATTCAGTATATATATATACACACACACACACACACACACATACATATATATATGGTAGGCACAATTGTATCGTTGACCACTGCTGCATCTAATTAATAAAAGCATAACATATATAGTAAATCCAAAATATTCCAAAGCGTTCTGCAAAAGTGAGATATGTGATACTTTTAAAAAATTTAAAATATTAGCCTTTTTTTCTCAGTCATATTCTTTTTAAAAAATGTGTAAGTTGACATTAATTTAAAGAACTAAATTTTATTTGTTTACCCTTTTGAGCAAGGCCTAAAATATTAAATATAAAAAATAGTATTCATTTGGCCAATATTTGTTAAGCAGGTCCAACCTTCAGAAATTCTTTACTCTAGAAACAAATAATTTTAATGAAGTGAAATACATTCTAAAGACATTATTGTTATGTAGGTTTTGTGTAAATTACACATCAGTCCATATTTTTAAAATAAGTTATTTTGCAAATTCTCTTTTCTTTGTCAGCATTTCAGTTTGTGTCCTGTTTCTCCCATCCCAAGCAAAAGAAAAGACTTGATTTATTTAGCTTTTCTTAATCCCTCTACCTTTAGTTTATTTAGTCTGTCACTCTGTCTTTGGCATTATTAAATTATTTGGAGCACGCTTAGGCACTGAAGAATAGTAGAAACTTGAAGTTGTTCGCTTTTCAGGTTATGTGATAAGTATGGTAGAGGAATGCTTATGAAGAAAGCTTAAGGCTAAATCTTGTTACCTGAAATTTGTTGAGAAATTTGCTTCAGTTCTTTTCCTTTCTTTATATCACATGCCATAAATCCATATCTAGCATATTTCGATCTTATCTGGAATAAAATTTCCTTTCTAAATGGAAACTTGGACCTGAGTTTTGAGCTTTTCCCTTAAATTATATATTTGTGTGCATCCATCTCTATTTTTATTTTCTTTCTTAGATGCCTGCCCCACTTCCAAACAGTGAATACTTCTTATTTCCTTATAATGAGGAATACCTATAATACCTTTAATAATGAGGAATATTTTTATCTTTGCCTGGCTTCTTGGTTCTTTGAGAACCCAGATTTGTTTTGTGTAATATGTTATAATCTTTTGCTTTGTTAGTGTTCTCAAGTTAAAATTTGCTAAGTTTAATAAAATAGCACTTTTGAGTTTATAAAAGCACATTGACTCACCTGAGTGGTAGGCTTAGAAGAGAGGCAAGAAATTATGAGTACAACAGTGAACTGAATTAGGTTCTCTGTGAAATTGCTATGGTGAACACAATATGTAAAATTGGTTTGTGCACCAGTAGCCACAAGTATTGCTCTTTTTCTTAGGACTATTTAAGAATAAACTAAATTTTAAAAGCTAAATTAAATGGAAACCATATTGCTTTGGTTAAGATTTTGGCATTACAGGTGAGCCAGAAAAACCTGTTTCACTCAACTCAGCTCTGAAGAGAGTTGTAGAAATTGGGGGTGGACTGGAGCAGAAACTAGAATTGTGTTAGATTATGACATCCTTGCCCTTGAGACAACAGCATGACTCCTCCTTGTCTTTACTTATGCTATTCCTCTGCCTGGAATGCCTTCCCTCCTTTCTATCTAAATCCTACCCACCTCCTCCACGAAGCCTTCTCTAACTACTGGAGCCCACATTGATGTCTCCCTGTTCAGAACACCTATGGCATCTAACAGCCAGCACTGCACCGTTTAGCACTGTTTGTCCTATGGCAATTTCACATGCTACTGAGTGTGAGTACATTAAAATATAAATGTGGGGAAATACGCATTTTCCAGTAAAATTTGAAAAATAGGTATATTATATACAGGAGGATTCTCAGGCTTATGGAAGTTTTACAGGCTATATAGCTTAGTCTGAGAATGGGGGAGGAGGGGAAGTTTGGGGATGGTTCTTAACTGTACCTTTGTTAATCTCAGAGAAACATTGCAAAATTTATGAGTCTAAAATGTTATGTTTTTTATAAACTCATTTTTATTCAGTAAATAGCCTGATGTTTTTTAAAGCTTGAGTAGTAGTAATGTTTTCAGTAGTGTTTAATATTATTTGAATATCAGTTCTGGAATTGAAACATTTTTCTTCTTGCTTAGGCTAAGATACCTCTGTTCACCCATATAAGCATATATCTACCAAACCCTGTTCTTGGTATTAATACTGAAATTTAGCAAATGTCAAATTTTGCGATGTGGAGAAACTATATTTTATTATATCACTGATGTATAATTTTGGGTATCTTTGCATGGTTAATACGAAGGGAATTTAACCGTAAAGATAATTTTTATTTATGCTTATTTCACGTAGTGCTAAGGGAGCTAAGAGAAAGCTTTGTTCAGATTTTTTTTTTTACTTTCTCCAGTGTATATTGAGGGTGTGGCCATACAAATACATGAATAAATATGCTTGAATCATGTTAATTAAAGTCTGCTTAAGGTGCCTATCTACTTTTTAATTGTACCTGTGATTAGTTATTCACTCATGCTTGGTTTATTTCCTTTTTAAATGAGCTGACAGCATGACTTTGAGTAGATGACTTAGTTTCCCATACAATTAAATTGGGATTGGGCCTCTGCATTGAATTTGTGAATGGTTCTGATAGAATAATAAATAGCTTTATGACACATTTTTCTATATGTAAAAAGTCCTTTTAATTATATAATACTTGAACATATTTACACTTGGACAGCAATTGTGTTAACTTTTAAGTAAAATTAATATGTAAAACTTACATGTTTGAGACATAAAAAGTTTTTATTTAAATTGATTTTAATTGGTCTTAGTTTCTGATTGATCTCACAGTGATTATGTCTTCTATTTGAAATTCAACATGGGGATATATGATATAAGTGGTAATGTCCATTTGAATATTTTCACATAAGTATATATTATTCTGTGTGTGTTTTTTAGAGGTACCAATCTTGGGAAAAAGAAGCAACACATTTGTCACATACCAGGATGTGGTAAAGTCTATGGGAAGACCTCACATCTGAGAGCTCATCTGCGTTGGCATTCTGGGGAGCGCCCTTTTGTTTGTAACTGGATGTTCTGTGGTAAAAGATTTACTCGAAGTGATGAATTACAGAGGCACAGAAGAACACATACAGGTTACTAATATTTACTTTTAACAGACAAAAATGAATTATAGGGCCACCTGCTACCTTGAAAGTTTTTTTTTTTAAGCATACCTTACTGAGCTGAATTTTAAAAATGTGACCAATCACATCAAATTTTATCTTCATTAAAACCAATTTAAAAACACTAATTCTAAAAAAAACAGTGTGACATAACATTTTATTTTATACAGACTTTGGTTAGCTTTTTTTTTTCTAAGTTTTTGTTGTTTTGAAATTATTGAATATCTTAAGCGACATTTATGCAATTATTGTTTCTGTTAAATGTTTTAAATTAGTTGTTTGCTTTTACTCTTGATCTGTCTTATTCTCTCATCCTCGTCAACACTTTAATAAAGAATAATTTCTTTTTTCTTGTTTTAATGTCTGAGGTAAGCAAAAGACATTTCATTGAGGAATAACCAAGGCACTGTTGATGTCAAGATTCTTTCATTTAATTGTTTTTGTATAGTGTGTAGTTGTTACATGGAATGGACCTAGGAATGACACAAAATGAATCCTAATTTACTATAACTTAGAGATAGTTTTTTCCTGCTACCATGTAATGATCAAGGTGTTCATCAATCTGTGCTCAACACTTAAGAATTGAAAAATACATAATATATTTATAGTCCCTAGAGAGCTTAGAAGGAAGAAGCATGGGGGAATGGAGGACACTATGGATTCTGAAGTCTCCTAGAGCTGGATTCAAATCCATGAACTCTGTTAGATCAAGCAAATAAGCTGTCCCTGACTTTGTTTTTATACCTCTTGTATTGCTTTAAATATTATATAAAATAACCTGTGAAGTGTTTAGTAGTATACATATTAGGTGCTCTACTTGTTTTAGTTTCTGCCTCTCTCATCAGGTAGGTAGGTAGACAGATGAGCTGTTTGTAACTATAACAAACAATACAGGAAAGTAAATTAAGTATGCTCAGAGGCAGAAATCATTATTGCTTGGGATAGTAAGGCATTGTTGGGCAGTCGGCTGGGATGGTAGAACTTAAGATGACCCTATAACAGACCCTTCCTTAGTGAAATTTGATCAGAATAGAAAAAGCAGTGTAAAAGGGGGAAAACGTCTATGATCATGAGTGGAAAACACTGGGTTAAAGAGGATTACTACACGTACCTTCAAGGCAGCACCTGTTAGAACCTTTAATTGAATGTTAACGAGTACCATGTATCTCTGTGTGGGAGGGTGGTTGTATGTGTAGCATTTCCCAACTGTCTTTGATCATTGTGCCATTTGCCATGGAACATCTCTCAGGACTAGTGTTCCAAGAGAAACTTTGGAAATATCTTTCAGAACAGTATGTGGATATAAGAGGTGAGAGACCATTTGACATGAGTGAAGATGAGATTTTATATAAAACATTTCTGTTATGTGGGATTACACCATAATCCTAGTTAACTGCAAGTTAGTCTTGCATTCCCATACCACTTATTACAGTGGTGAAGTTTTGTACAGTGTTAAAATTTGGTATTTAAGGAAGGTTTGTCTGGCATTGATTTGTTGGATTAGAGAGGGAAAGACAAGGGTGTCATCATTGCAGTATAATTCAGACATGAGGTCTGATGAGGACCTACCTAGAGTAGAGATGCTGGAACAGGAGATAGATAAGGCATGTTGAAGAAAGTAAATTAAGAAAATACTAGATTGATTGATGGATTTCTCTCTGGATTCCTTTTAGGCTGGCCTTTTGCCTTTTAATCCTCTCACATAGTAGGTCTTTAGTATAATAGAATTTGGTCTGTCTTTTGTATTGAAATATTTTATTCATGTTGGAAGATATATTTAGGTATTAAGGTCTTACTAACTTTAACATTATGATATATTAGGCTTGCTCTGAATTACTTCAGCTGACATCAAGTCAGCTAGCCATCTCTTGGGATTACTCAGTCTTAGTGGACCTCAAGCTTGCATCTTTGCTTTAACCTAGAAGTCCTCTGTGTAGTTACTTGAATTCAGATATAATAGTTGGGGGTTTAATATGGATACAACATGTTAATACCTTAAATATAGCTTTTAAAACTATACTTTTCTTTAAAGGAATACAGTGACTCCTCAGTGTTGTCAGTAGGTTCTTGAAAACCGTGTAAGTGAAATGATGTATAACAAGAACAATTTTACCATAGGCTAATTGATATAAAAAAGAATTCTGATGGCATATTTCTAGTCACGAAAACATTACTGCATTTCTAAATAAAGACCCAAAACACTTCTAATATTAAACATAGAAAAACATATGAGATATATATATATATATATTGAGATCTATCTATCTATCTATCTATCTATGATGAATAAAAACAAAGATCTTATTGAAATATTTGTATTGAAATATTTTATCCCAGGTTTAGGGTTGCGGGTGGCTAGAGCCTCTCTCAACAGCTCTGGGTGCAAGGTGGGAACCAGCCCTGGGCAAGACCCCCTTGCATCATCCACCCCCCACTCACTCAGACTGGGACAATGCAGACATGCCAGTTCACCTCATGTGCACATTTTTGGGATGTGGGAGGAAACCAGAGTACCTGGAGAAAATCCATACAGATGTGGGAAGAATTTTCAAACTCCACACAGAGAGTGGCTCTGCTAGAAGTCAGTTATTTTTCTTCTCGTTGTTATAAAAAAACAATGTTTGAACAAAAACAGTTTTATTCGAGGACCTTCCTGTATGTTATAGATGGTTATTTTTAGCTTATATCTTCTAATATGTTTCAGAGCAAACTATTAGTATAGTTGAGGTATTAAAATATTATCTGAATGGTAGTAAGTTTGAAGATACTTTTCATTAAAAAGTAAAGATGGCATTTATTTTGAGGAGAAATATTCTATGAGAGAAATTTGTAGAGGCAGCTCATGAAACTAATACAATTTTAGTTGAACCCTGTTTCCTGTCCTTCTCAGTGTTGGCTTAATTTCTTTCTCAGGGAATTATCAGTCTATTGTTGAGTTTTGAAAACTAAGTAATTTAATTTTATTTCTAACAGGTGAGAAGAAATTTGTTTGTCCAGAATGTTCAAAACGCTTTATGAGAAGTGATCACCTTGCCAAACATATTAAAACACATCAGAATAAAAAAGGTATTCACTCTAGCAGTACAGTGCTGGCATCTGTGGAAGCTGCACGAGATGATACTTTGATTACTGCAGGAGGAACAACACTTATCCTGGCAAATATTCAACAAGGTTCTGTTTCAGGGATAGGAACTGTTAATACTTCCACCACCAGCAATCAAGATATCCTTACCAACACTGAAATACCTTTACAGCTTGTCACAGTTTCTGGAAACGAGACAATGGAGTAAATATTACACAAATACTTATTCATTGTGGTTATTTTTATACAGTAGTGAGAAGAATATTGTTCCTAAGTTCTTAGATATCTTTTTATTGATGTGCAAAAATTTTTGGATTGACAGTAACTTGGTTATACATGACACTGAAATGCCTTACTTTGTATGATATTCCATAGTATATTAAAAATGGTAAAATTGCATGGGTTTTGTAGGTACTTTTGGAATCTAGAAGAAATGAAATTTTACCAAGTTATATAAAGAAAATTGAATTTAACAATGCGAATGGTAGTCTAACCAAATGCATCAATCCTGTGTGGTTTAGTGTAAAAATGAGAACATGTTGGTATTTATCTATTGTAAGATAAAAAAAAGTTGGTGGGTGAAAGAAATCATGTTATGATAAAAAAAATTTTTGTAATTTTCTTGATGACTGGAATTTTTATTATGCATAACTGACAAATCAAGTTTCCAAGCAAATGTTACATAGTGTAGGCTTTACTTAGCTTATCAATTTGTCATTTTGAAGCTAATTATTTTAATTAGGTTAACTGTACAATATTTTAAGCATTACTCTTGTAAGATTTTGAAAACTACATTTTAACATGGAACTCTAGGGTTAGTCACCTTTTAAATCCTGTTGAAAAGCCATGTTTAAGATTTAATTTGCCAAAATAATGTCTTGTTAATATTCTTTCAATAACGAAGTTGGGCAATATAACCAATGTTTAAAAAAGTTTAAAATGTATAGGTTGAGGCATTTGGGTGGTAAGAAAATGTTATAGTGAGATATCCCCTTTCTTGCATATTGGAGGACCAAAAAATAAGGTGTATTGCGTCTTAGCAGTGACTTTTTTATCCAATCTTGTTTCCAAAAACCATATGTCTGCCAGGGCCTTAAAAGCCATCATGTAAATTACCAGTAAAGTATAACATATGCAAACATAACAAAATCACTTCCATAGTGACGATACTCCAACCATATGGATATTAGTCATAGAAAACTAGCAGTTTTATGATATTTTTTTAAGTCTTTTTTTTTTTTTTTTTTTTGTCTAGATAGTCAGTCTGCACTTAAATATCAACCATTTTCTTTTTTTGCTTCTTCCCTTAAAATTTATATGTATTCAGTACATTTAATTGAGAAACGTATGTTTTTTATTATGCTGTATTTTCTTTTTATTTTTAATTATTGTTTATATTTTCAATTATTAAAAATGTACAAAATAAAGTTTCATTGCTGGTCTTGTAAGAGCTATACAATTTTCCTAAATGTATACCTATAACTGCAGCAGTTCACCTATTTCAAAAATTTGGAATTCTGTTCATTTGTTATTCTTAAGACCACCTCAAATTTAAAGGCTACCTTATTGTACGTTTAAAGTGTATTATAACAGTGTGGTAGTTAATAAAACACTATTTTTTTTTTTCTTTTGAGTTTGTTGTATTCCTATGCATTTAAAATATTGCGGTGGTATGGGGAAAGAAAATTTGTGTGGTTTTTCTTCAACTTGGCCTTTTATTTGCCTATTTGCCTGTTGTTGATTTTAGACACCAAAATGATCTTAAACAGGTATGTTTACTTAGAAGAATAGAGGTACCAGCAGATTACTAATATTTTACTAAGAATAAGTTTAAGTAAAACTTCTGGAAAAAAAATCTTTGAACTTTTTGTCCATATTGAGTAATATTAAGTTTACCAATGCCATTTTGCAAACCTTGTTTGTTTTTTCTTCCTGTTCAGAATATTTTAATTTATCAAAATCTTGAATTTTACATGAAGATTCTTGTAAAAGATAACAAGCCAACCTTTGGTAACAAAATAGCAAGAGTTATTTGAAAAGGTTATGTTTTGAATTTGTGTATGTCTAATTATGATAAAGGCAGGGTAGGAGGAAAGAAAAAATTAATATGAACATGACTGTATTTTAGATATTTTTAAATTAAAAATCTAATTCTCCACATGTATATAGTGGGGGGTAGAGATTTCCATTGTTTTCCAGGCTCAATCTGACAACTGTCAGTAATATCTTTGAATGCATAGGAGAACTCTAGATATATATATAAACACAAATAAAGTTTTTTTGAATGAAACTTAAGTTTGTGATGTGAAATAGACTTGGAATTACAGAAATTAATGGAATGTACAATTACTTCGAAGTTATAAGGATTAGAATTTGAGTCTTCAAACTCCTTTAGATAATTAAAATTTTTATTTAGGATGTGTGAAGAGGATTATGTTAGGAAGTTTCTCACTAAGCAAAATACCCATTAAGTCAGGAGACTAAAAAACTTTAGTGATAGTAAAGATGTTTTTAAATAATACTGAAATTTTATAGTAAGTTTATAGAGTATTTTTTTTAAATTAATTATTTTTGTTACAAATGTTTCTCCTTTTTCTCCCACCGATTTCCCCCTCCCTGCCCTGTCCCCAACCCTGTTGTCCATGTCCATTGTTCATGCATACATGCATATAAGTTCTGTGTGTGGTTTATCTCTCCCCACCATCCCCTCTTCTGGGGATTGTCAGTCTGTACCCCACTTCCATGTCTCTGGGACTACCCCATTCTTCAGACTGTTATGTTCATTATATTCCACAAATAAGTGAGATCATATGATACTTGTCTTTCTCTGTTTAGCTTGTTTCACTTAGGATGATACTTTCCAGGTCCCTCCATGTCGTCTCAAAGGATAGATCTTTCTTATAGCTGCATAGTACTCCATTGTGTATATGTACCACACTGCTTTTTTATCCATTCGTCTACTGATGGACATTTGAGCTGTTTCCAGATCTTAGCCATTGTAAATAGTGCTGCTACAAACATGGGGGTACATATATTCTTTCTGATTGGTGTTTCAGGCTTCTTAGGGTATATTCCTAGAAGTAGGATCACTGGGTCAAATGGAAGTTATAGAGTGTTTTTGATCCATGAGTTTTCAAGCATATTTTATCAGTTCTTAGAGCATGAATGCAATGGAGAAAGTAAATAATTTTGAAAATTACTTAAATAAGTTTTTGAAAATTTTTTTTTCTGAGTGCTTACTAAAAATATACCATTGAACTTTGGGTCTTTACAACAAATCAAAGTTAGTTTCAACCTCAGCACAGGTGATTTTTAAATATTTCTATTTTTGTATTACATGTTGAATATACTCTGGAAGCATAATATTTGAAGAATTACCCTGAAGTCATTTTTTTCTAGTTGTAAAATTTCTTGTGTGTTAGTGTAATATAGATATAGAGGTGGGCAAAAAGTAGGTTAATGGTTCATATGGTAAATAGTACCAATACTAATACAATAATAAACTCATGTACTCACAAATGTAAACCTACTTTTGCCCACCCCTGTGTATTCTTTAATAGTTATTTTTGTTAATTGCTTTATTTTTGTAAAAGCTAGAAGTTAAAGCATATTTAATATATTTACATAGAAGTCATTCCTATTTATCAGAACATACTTATCTAGTGGACTAGGTGTCTGTACGTTACACCTTAAAGAAAATACCACTTAAGAAAATGTTATTTTCTGTATATTTGAAAGTTAAGGATCCTGAAAATAATCCAATTAACCAGAAGCATTTACAGCTTTAATGGAGTAAAGTTATGGCAAAAAGTCCGGTTCCCTGTAAGTAACTAGGTAAAATAGCAAAAATGCTTAAGATATTTCAAATAGTGAAATTGTTTAAATATTAAACATTTGCATATAAACTGAAGGTATGTCAAACATATTCCATGGAAAATAGTTCTTAGCCAGTATTCTTCAAAAAATGCTGGGAACATTTCAAAATGTCCACAGGCCTACTTTCATCCTTTACCTACTAATTCTACATCTCGGGATGGGGAGTATATATGTATTGTATAATAGCTTCTCAAGTGATTGATAAACACACCTGGATTAGAATCATTTAAATAGAGCAAGTATCCCCTTAGCATCTTTCTTGTAGTTCAGATCCTAATACTGACTGCTCATGATCCCAAAGTTTTTGTTTTATTAAGAATTTTATTGTATCCTGGAAGTGTGGCTCAGTGGTTGAGCTTCAACCCATGCACCAAGAGGTCACACTGGTTTGATTCCCCTCCAGAGCACATTCCCAGCAGGGGGCATGCAGGAGGCAGCCAGTCAATGTTCTCTCTCATAGATGTTTCTATCTCCTCCCTTCCTCTCTCTAAAATAAATAAAAAATACTTTAAAAATTTTTTATTGTAATCAATGTTTGCAATTTGGGGTATTAACTAATAACATTTGGTTTTAAAATACATAAGTTGACATGTTCATGCTACCTATTAGGTCATTTGGTTTTCAATTTTAATGTTAAATCAGTAAAATTTGTTTTCAATGTAAAAACTTTGTTTCACTAAATAGTATGTTTAAAACTTTTTGCCATGGATGAGTAGTAGTTCTTTTGTTGTCTGACTATGAACACAAAACAAATTGATTGATTATTGAGAACAAGATTTGCTATTTTAGTGAAATCACCTTTATTTAGTGGTGGAGACAAAGATATATTGATTTGGCCCCTTGTTCAGATGGATTTGTGTATCATCAATGTATTGTGGTAAATTTTGTGGCTGATACAAAGTGCTCTAGAAACTGGGAGAATTCTGCATGGAGAAGTTTTGGAAACTCAGGGAGAGGAAATGGCATTAGCAAAGTTGGTGTGGTTTATTATTTAAAAAGAGAAGAATAGAGGTACTAGGGATTTTGTGAGAGATGGAGTGTCAAAATTTTGGAGGAGGGGCTGTCAAATTGCAAAGGAGTTCAGAATTTAATCTTTACCAGTGATTCCTAATCTTTTTGGGACCACAGATCTTAGAAGAATGCACCTGAAATTCAAGTTCAAGGTGTTAAAATAACTACCTGTGCGTGTTTGAGCTAAAATCTGAGTCCTGGAAAACAGCCACACTTGAAGGAACTGGTGGAGGAAGAGAAGTCATTAAGAAGACTCATAGAAAGCATCAAGATGGTGACAGACACCAAGTGCAGTATAGAGGTTAAATTGGATAAAATGCAGGAAATGGCTGTTGATTTTGGCAATAATGAGTTGCCTACTGATTTTTGTAAGCAGTTGTTGAGAGTATTTTAGTAAGAGTAGTTGATTGAGGGCATAGGACAAGAGGCTCTGGAGACAGCAAGCGTGCAATATTAAGTTTGGTTTTGAAGAGATGAAAGATGGGCAGCCTGGCTGGTGTGGCCTAGTGGTTGCGTGCCGACCCATGCACAAAGAGGTCACTGGATTGATTCTCAGTCAGGACACGCCCGGGTTTTGGGCTTGAGTGTGCAGGAGGCAGCTGATCGATGTTTCTCATCGATGTTTCTATCACTCCCACTCAATTTCTCTCTCTAAAAGTCAATAAAAACATTAAAATGAAAGATGGGCAGATGAGTGGCTGAGTGAGGATTGAGAAAAGTGTTGGAAATGTCTCTCTGTAAAAGTGACACATTGATGAATATTAAGAAAAGAATTTAAATGACCGCTAAACTACCCAGAGATAAATGCCTAAGAAAACCGGAGTTGAAGTTTTAAAATATGCATATGCTGTCATGTAACTTGATTCATACCATTTCATTATTATATGTTCAAGACAATTTTTTAGTGTTAAAAAATGATGTGCTGACGCCATGACCGGTTTGGCTCAGTGGTTGGAGTGTCGACCTGCGGACCAGAGAGTCCTGGGTTTGGTTCCTGTTAGGGACACATACCAAAAAATAAAAAAATAAAAATAATAATAATAATGATGTGCTGAAAAGTGGCCTCTGTTTCCTTCAGCCTTTCTTTTCCCTCTCCCAGGTTTTAACTTCCTTGGTTCTCTTCTAAATCCACATTAAACTATACTAGATGTGTGATAACTAGGTAGATTTCTTGCCTTGAAACCTAATTTTCATCATTATAAAAAGGATAACTAACAAAAGTATCAGGATTGTTGTGAAGATTAAAATGTAAGCATGTAGCCTAGTGTCAGGCTTATAGTAGAGACCCAATAAATGGCATATATTTTTTTCACACCTATTAACTCTGGAGATTTCATTTTTCTGTGAAAGACCAGTGTTTTGGAGTTTGCATTGTTGGACTATCATTCCTGCATTGATTTTCAATATAGGGGGTAATTTTGTTTCTAATGCAAAAATGTGGAAAGTGAACTGTAGAATCTAAATTGATAGTGGACAGTGTCTGAAGTGACTGCTTCATAGAAAGGATGGAATACAAAGAAAAGAATGAAGCATAAAATGTCTTGAAATTATACCCTGATGTAGAATTCTAGCCTATTTTAACGTTCCTTGGAGCCAGCCAAAGAATCTTCAGGCTCATTTCAACTTGAAAGGTAAAATTTAGTATCTAGTGGTTCCAGCCTCAAATTGGAAAAGGTCATCAAATAAATGCAGGTTATTTTTTCAAAAAATGTCTAAGCCTCCAATGACTAGACAACAGGGAAA